ATTCCATAAAAAATTCACACAACTAATCTTGATATTAGAAAAAGAAATATTTTTTCTTTAAAAAAAATAATTTTAAACAATAAATATATATATTTTCAAAGTAATTATTATTTTTGTATATATCTATCTATTTTATTAGATGATTACATAAAATAATTAAATAAGATAAACTAATGTATGTTTAATTGACAAAAAAAATTTACAATTAATATTCTTGAATTTTTTTTTTATTTTTAGTATATTTATTTGACTATAATATCTTACAATTACAGCAAAAAAATATAAATTCTATTTTACTTATATAATATAATTTTCAAAAACAATAAATTTTTTTACTGCATATTTTAAGAGATATTAAAAACAAAACTAAAAATAAATTTTAATAATAAACATTTTTTGATCAAATAACTACAATTATTTAAAAACATCATAACACTATATAATTTAACAAAGTATATATATTATATTTTAATAGTTAGATTTATATGTTTGCTTAATAATTCTTTGGATTTTTTATTTTCTGTTATTATGTTTGTGGAACTTAATATAACCATAATCAAAATACTTAAGCAAATCAGAATCTTTATTTTAAAATTATTTAAAATAAATTTATGTTTACCATCCAATTAATCTAAATATTGTAAATATTGATATGTGTTCATAAGCTTCCAAAAATTTATTAGTTATGCATGTATGTAATTTAGAATCAGACAATTTAGTTTCTATTTTTTTTCTTTCTAAGCATAAAAAATCTTAAGTTATACATACTCTTACTAGATATACTTATATTTTTAAAATAACAACCGGCATAAATGCAAATAAGATGATTAATCAAAAATTTAATATATTGAGGATAAAAAAGATTATAGTTGAATTTAGAAAAATAGATAGAATCTAATATATCCAAAAGATAACTAAATCAACCGTAAAAAAAATAAAATTGATGAAATATAACATATCTAAAATTATATATATAATTAAATTAATACAAATTATACCTACAATATACCAAATTGATAACCAAACCGACTATTGATCCAAAAAATAATTAAACTGGCAATAATATATCCAAAGTCATATGTATAATTATAATAATATAATATTTATTAATATAAATTATACATAGAAATTGATTCAAAACTAAAATTAAATATAAATCAATTATTATAAAATTTTACTTTTATGAATATTCATACCCGTGCATGAGCACGGGAAAATTACCTAATTGTCTAGTATTTACCAATACTATAATATTAGTTTAGTTTAAGTAAAAGGAGAATTATTGTGAAACTTTTTTTTGGTATTGTTAAAAGCCATTCCGGAAGTTTTCTCCAACGTTTTGTGACCTACTTTGATATAGATGATTCATTCCACTATTTAGAGTTCTTATATATAGTATCTGTTTGGAATGTCCAAAGTTGTTGATGACTCAGAATTTAGTGATCAGTAGGTTCTTTTAAGAAAACAAAGAAAAGATTCCTATAAGTTTATTTAATTTGATAGAGGAATATTTGTTGTCTTCTATAACTTGTACCCTCTCGCTTAGGTTTATTGAATGTTTTAGAGATTTTTTATTTCAAATTAAGTTATGTTCTCATAATTCAGGATACAAAATTATTATTGTTTAAAAATTTGTTACCAATTATATAATAGTCTTTTTATTGGTTGAATTAGTTTTGTATAATGTTATTTATATTATCAAGATAAACTGAATAAAAATTTGCAATTTGTTAATCTATGTACATTTATCTTATACCTTAATTAGTTAGACTAGTATGACAATATTACTTTAAACGTGCACCTTATACTGAGTCGGAAAGAGACGACCTTTTCCGAGCAACTGTACGACGATGTCTCCATGTTTAACCAGCATCTTGTCTAATTATATCATTAACTAAACACCAATTATTGACATTTTGACATAAAACAAAAAATTTAATGTCACTAAGACGGACACGTGCCATAGTTTTAATTAAGTATGAAATAATTCGTCACTGGAGGGCAGATAAGAGCATCTCCAACCCTTTTCTATATTTGTTTCTATAATAGTATCTAGAGGTAAAATCACCCGAACCCATCTCGATTTTCATTTTTAAAATAGAGATTACTATTTTTCTTCTATTTATAGAGAAAGAAATAAAGTTACTTTATATTTAAAGATCTCTATTTTAAAGAAATATATTGGAACAAAACTCATCTCTATTATAATTTTTTTTTTTTTTAGAAATAAAAATAGGAAAATACATTAGAGATGGTCTAAGCCACTTAGTTGGCTTTGCATTGCCATTTTTTTTTTGTCAACAACTTATAATTTATGTGATGTGTTTTAGTAAGTACAATCCCGAAATGTACTATACTTTCTTTTGTCAACAAGATACAAAGACTTCGAACCAAAAAAGTTTATCCAACAGCTTGGATAAGCATATGGAGGTATATAATTTACATGAACTACAAGAGAAAGATGGGTTGGAGCATTTCATGCCAAGTGCCAACTTATCCATTTTGTGTTTTTTTTTAGTTGAAATAAGTAATATCGTGAATGTGTGCTGGATAATTTTTTAATCTTTGAAACTTTTATAGATAGACTGAGAAAAATATGCCAAATTTACTATATTTTGAAATAAATGATATTCACTATTAATGAAACATGTGAAAACATTCGATGCACCATATATCAAAGTATCAAGCTATATAAACGACAAGTATATTATTCTTTAGAACATTAAATCATTCAATCGATGATACTCATATCTGAGTAGACATTTTTATGTATACATTATTCGCATAAAATCAACGGTTGCAGGAAGAAAAGTGACTGGCCAACCTATCAAGCTTCAATAGATGAAAAGTAGGAAGAAAAACGAACCATTATAAATAGAAGCATAATTATCTAATCTAATAATAAAATGAAATTTGTGACCCCACGACAAGACATTATGAACTTGTAATTAAACCACTCTTATCGCCTGTTTTATAATAGAAATAATATCATTCTAGGGCAATTTTATGTTTTTTATGTTATAATAAGACAGTTTATGCTACATAGGCAGTTTTTCTTAACTCTATCTACTTACTCTTCTAATCCTAAACGACATAGTTAGGAAACCAGCAACTAAAGATTTTGTTTAAGCAGGAATTAACCTCAACCCTTCATCCATATGACATCCAACGCTTCAGCTTCAACCTGTTTCTTTTGATTAGACACATATTTCTTCCATCTCTCTTCTTTTTTCTCTTTTGTCTTCTTCTCTTTCATTTCCTAATTTTTTTTAAAAATCAAATCTGATTCTTATATTTTTTTTTTCTCATTTTTTTCTGATGAAATCGTGTTCTCCATTACTCAATCTATCTTTTGAGATCTGTGAAGATGCATTTCCGATGTTGGTGTACACCTTATTTAATGTACACATGTTATTTTGTGTACGCTTTTTTGACACATACACGTGTACATTCAAAATGAACTAATATATGTGAATAAGTTATGTTCATAAGGTACACTGGTGGTTACTTACTAAAAAAATACCAAACTGCATAACAATAGGTGTATAGATGGTTTTGAGTGTTATTCATATCTAATGATTTCTAGCTTTGATTTTAGTTCATTAAATTTTGTTTCCAATACATAATATTAGCTTTGAAATTTTGGAGGTAATATGAAAGCAATAAAAACAAGGATCATCGTGCAGTTATAAAGAAGTAATGGAATGAGTAATCAAGGAGTTTGTTGGTTATTTTGTGTACACTTTGGGACATGTACACCTGTACTTCAAAAATGGACCAATATATGTGAAGAAGTTGTACACAAGTAGGTGGACCGACGGTAGCTTATTAAAAAATAAAATACATAATAAAATAGATCAAGTTAAACTAAATATGATGTACATGAAAATAGGTGTACACATGGGTTATGCATTTTGTAAAACCTTTGTAATATAAAACCACAATTGATGTGCAACAAGCATATTTCGAACATATGTGTACATTAATAATATATAATATTGTACATAACCACGATTGTACACATGTACATAACCACGAATGTACACATTTACACACAAGTACACATGTACGTAGTCATTGTACATGTGTACACTACCATTATGTACACATCCACGTGGTCTTCCAATTAAATTTTTTTAATGAATGGCAATTTTGTAATAAGTTTACCTTCTTCCTAGTAGGGTTTTCTGCATTTTCTGCAAATATAATACACAGCCGCCATTGATTTTTATCATACAATCTTCATTGTTTTGCATTTTATCTCTAGAACTTACTAATATCTCTATATAGATTAACATATTATAATCCAAAATAAAAAAAAAACAGATAAAAACCCGCAAAGTAAACGCAGAAGCCTTCACAGTAATTTTCTTATACATAGACACTTCCAAAATTATATAGATTAATAGATTAGAATTCAAAACCAAGAAAAAAAAATAGATTACAAAATAATCTCTCCAGTAGCCCTCTTCATATTATGTCGTTTATCTCTGTCATGCAAGTGAACAATCTTTTTTATTTTTTTCTTAGAGAAACTAAAACCATTCAAACATAAAATAAATTAAAAATATATAATAATCCCTAACTAATTAAAATGTTTATAGTTACATTTTTAAGGGGCAAGTTAAGTCTTTTCATCAAATAACTGCCTCAGTAGTGGAAACTGCCTCATTCTGATAATAAAAACACAAAACTGTCCCACAGTGAAAATTACTCTTTTATAATATGTACATATTGTGTCTATTTAAATTACAAAAATCTATTAAAATAATTAAACTAAGATTCAACCAATCATCGGAATTTATAAGTTTGTGTTTTCCATTCTCATTTGTTAAGTTCTTGGGACCTATAAACCAAACAATTTGTCCCAAAAAGAAGATATCAAAGTTTCATCTGAAAAATAAACAAAAACACAGAGGCTTATGGCATATTCAACTAAGCTCTGTCTTCCTCTTCAAACACCATGTTTTGCTCCAAAGACATTAAGATCAGAGACTTTTATGCTTCAACAGAGTCAAGTTCAAGTCAAGAAAGTCACAGTTTCACAGCCTCAACTAGTAAGATACTCCACCAAGAAGAACACTGTATGATCTTTTTCTCATCTTTGTGTAGAACTGAGTCTTGATTTTCTTGAGAATCTAGACACAACCCATTTGGCAAAATCTGACTTTTGAAAATGTTTTCATTTTTTTCATTTTTCCAAACAGGTGTTTGACGATCCAATACAAGGGATTATTTGTTACACGGATGATAACGGAGAGGTTCTATGTGAAGGATACGATGAAGGTCCTCGTTGTCCACCAGAGAGTCCAATGATTACTTCTTACTCAAGGTATGATAACTTCCTAATCATAAATTAAAAATATCATCAGATCAAATGTTTTAATAATTGGTATATAAAATGAACAGAGAGGTAGAGATTCTTGATCTTCTGCAAAGAAGTTATCAGGAACTGAGAGGAGCAGAGAAGGGTGATGGTCAAAGACAAGACATTGCTTCACAACAAGAGTTTGTATTGATCAAATGGAGCAGCTTTGACGTTCTCTAAGTTCTCTCTCTGTGTTCTCTTCAGAAAGGCCTCTTGAATAAGAATGTACAGAAAAAAGGCTGTGAAAGAAGCAGCGGTTTGCTTCTTTCTTGTTTCTCTTTTGTAAGAAAACAAACATGAATACTTGTCCAGGTTCTGCTTTCTTTGTTTTCTTGAATGTTAAGACCGAAGCTACAAGTAATCAATCACATCACCCAATTGCAAACACAAACAAGATGCAGTATATAGTAATTTTGACTACGTTTATTTTTGTAATGTAAATTTATGATTCATAAACAAAGTTTTCCTACATTGTACTACTCGGACTAGCTGGACCGAATCACTAACATAGTTTTTCAAATATGTGACACTTTACTCATAAATATATAACTGAATGTGAAAGGTTTCTTTGTTTTGTTTTTAAGATAATTAGATAACCAAAAGACATTTGACTAAAATAATTCAATTACCTAAGATTTCATGTTCCAATGCTTAACTAAATACTAACAACTAATTATCCTACGCAATTAATAAGAAAAAGACCCTTCGAATACAACATCCAACGTCATTATTTAACGTGGACGAGCCCAACTTTATTCTCAGAACCAAAAGAAGACCAAAACGATATGATGAATGATGGATCATCCTCATCATCATTATCATCTTCAAACACAAAGATGAACGACATGGATGTATTAGTAGATGAAACCTACTTCTCTGCTTTATTCGACTATGATGAAGTTCTCCCCATATCCGATGTCAACTACGCCACAGAGCTTCATCTCCAAGAAGCTCTCTTCTCTTCTTTGATAGCTTCAACGGCTAAGATCAGTAACCAACACAAAATCCAAAGGAATGTCACCACATTGATCAAGCAAGAACCAGTGGTAAAAATCGAGAACGAACCCTTGGAACCATCTAGAAGGTTATGCATGATCTGCATGGACGAAAAGCCTTCTTCAGACATGTTCCGAGGATCAGTCACTTGCACTCACTCCTACTGCACTCAGTGCACCATCCGTTACTTGGCGACCAAGATCAAAGAAAACTCAGCGAAGATTAAATGCCCTGACGTGGAGTGCACGCGTTTTATAGAGCCGTACATGTGCAGAGATCTGATCCCAAAGGAAGTGTTCGAGCGTTGGGAGAAGATCTTGTGCGAGTCTTTGATTTCTTCATGGGACAAGCTTTACTGCCCGTTCAAAGACTGTTCATCTGTGATGATTCTTGACGATCTTGGTGGTGGTAATGCTAATGTGACGCAGACTGAGTGTCCATCATGTCACAGAATGTTCTGCGCTCAGTGTAAGGTTGCGTGGCATGCTGGGATTGGCTGTGAGGAGTTCCAAAGATATGGGAACACGAAGAAGAAGGGTAGTGATGCAGAAGATGCGTTGTTAGTTCAGATGGCTAAGAATAAGCAGTGGAGGAGGTGCCCTAGTTGCAAGTTTTATGTTGAGAAAAGGGATGGATGTATGCATATAACGTGCAGGTATATAAGTGTGTTTTATTATTCATTATAAATCATCATTTTGTTATTGGAAATGTTTTAAGTGATAATTTGTTTTTTTTTTTGTTTTTTATTATTTTGCAGGTGTGGATTTCAGTTCTGCTATGGTTGTGGATCAGTGTGGGTTTCTAGTCACTCATGCTAAATTCGTACCTAAAGTCCAATCGATGAATAATTTCTCAATAATTTTATGTTTGTTTCTGAAATAAAATATATTTTTTCTGTGTTTCTATGCAATATTTATCTGTCAAAAAAAAAAAATAATAATAATTTGTCACATTTGCTAAATTTATAGACGGTCAACTTCTCGGCATAAGAAACTAGAGCCTCAATGTAGATTTCTTATCATATGCTTTAAGCATTTTAAACCCATTAGCATGGATTTACAGTCGTAAAAACGTAATTATTTTCCCTATTTAAGAAATTAACAATTAGGTTTCAAAGGGTAATAGAGTAGAGACTAGAGAGGTTGACCGTTGATTCGACTTTTGTTTAAAACTAATAGAAAAAGTGTAAGAAAAGAAAAGAAAAAGAGGTATACTGTTTACTAGACTTCTTTCGTTGAGTTGACAAAAAAAACTTCTTTCGTTGTCAATAATTGCATATGAATTTAGGCTTTAATCAACAGTAGTCTCATTTTCTCTTCTGCGAAGTGTCTATTTAATGTGGATGATCATTTCAGTAATTCGTCTGAATCATTTCTACAATAATACAGTGGACATACTTATGTACGCTTCACCGACCAAAACAGTTGATTGGGTATATTATTTGTTAAATTAGTTTTTCGTTTTATTATAGTCTAGATTATGTTTAATTAAGATGGTATGTTCAAGGTGAAAAGGAAAGAGAAATAGCAGAAACGAACAAAAACACACGTGAACACTGCTTTCGGCTTCTGTGTTTATGAATATGCTTTGCAAAATGTTTATGAAAATGTATTATAATATACTGTATTTAAGGGAATTAAAACAATGGCGCTATCCTCAAACAATAAACATCAACCTACTCAGGTCGATTTCCATGAAAACTTGGGCACATCGTAACTCGTATTTATTATGCTTCCAAAAATTCAAAATATGGTGTTGCAAACCATAAATCTTACCAACAACAAAAGTCACTACTCCCTTAACGTTTAATAAGTCGTGCCTAGCATATGATACATGTTTTTCTTTTAGATTCATTGCAACGTTAGTGTGTTATTTTTCTAGTCAGCATTTTACAACAAATATCATTAATGCCTGATCCTTGTTTTGATTAAGTTATCCTAAGATTTGAACAACACATGTCGACCAAGCAGGAGACCCACATGACATTCACTGGTTCACATGACAGTGAACACTAAGCTTTGATGCTCGTAATCATTTAAACTTTAGTTACAAAAGATGGAATCAGAATTTCATTTAACTTCTAAGATAATACTAATCGACAAATATCCTAATCCAATCTTCTGCATCTGCAAATATAAATTCTAAATCCCGTGAACTAAACATTTGAATCTGTCACCTGAAACATAACTCCATAACTGGATTTATAAAGATTATATGACTCTTATTTTCTTTTACTTTTCTTCAAAGTACATAGGGGTAATGGAGTAAATAATAAACAAAGCAAAAAAACAGTGCCTCCAGCTCTCAGTCACTAGCCACAGTCTCACAACTTCTACTGCTTGCTCTTTGTTCACACTTGCACTAGGGTTTCCTCTCTTTCTCCTTCTTCCTCTTCCACTCTCTAAAACCAAATCTTGAAATAAATTAAAAACATAACTTTCTCCGACAATGGCTTTCTTCTACTTCCTCTTCCTCTTCACACTCTTGTCCCCTTCCTCTTCAAACGACCTAAACTCCTTGACTTACATAGTCCACGTAGACCACGAAGCTAAACCCTCAATCTTCCCCACTCACCGTCACTGGTACACCTCATCACTCGCCTCACTCACTTCCACTCCTTCCATCATCCACACATACGACACCGTTTTCCACGGCTTCTCCACTAGACTCACCTCTCAAGAAGCTACTCACCTCTTAACCCACCCCCACGTCATCTCAGTCATCCCCGAGCAAGTCCGCCACTTGCACACCACTCGCTCCCCTGAGTTTCTCGGCCTCAGGTCCACCGACAAAGCTGGTCTCCTCGAAGAATCCGACTTCGGGTCGGATCTCGTCATCGGAGTCATCGACACCGGTATCTGGCCCGAGAGGCCCAGCTTCGACGACCGTGGGCTCGGCCCAATCCCCACCAAATGGAAAGGCCAATGCGTCGCCTCACAAGACTTCCCGGCGACGGCGTGTAACCGGAAACTCGTCGGAGCAAAATTCTTCTGCGGCGGTTACGAAGCAACCAACGGGAAGATGAACGAGACGACGGAGTCTCGCTCCCCGCGCGACTCCGACGGCCACGGGACTCACACCGCCTCCATCTCCGCCGGACGTTACGTTTTTCCGGCGTCGACTCTCGGCTACGCCCGCGGCGTCGCCTCCGGGATGGCTCCGAAGGCTCGCCTCGCCGCGTACAAAGTCTGCTGGAGCTCCGGCTGCTACGACTCCGACATCCTCGCCGCGTTCGACGCGGCGGTCGCCGACGGCGTCGACGTCGTCTCCCTCTCCGTCGGCGGCGTCGTGGTTCCTTATCACCTCGACGCCATCGCCATCGGAGCTTTCGGAGCGATCGATAGAGGAGTATTCGTCTCCGCCTCCGCCGGAAACGGCGGTCCCGGCGCTTTGACGGTGACGAACGTCGCGCCGTGGATGACGACGGTCGGCGCCGGAACCATCGACCGTGACTTTCCGGCGAATGTGAAGCTCGGGAATGGTAGGACGGTTACTGGCGTTAGTGTTTACGGTGGACCGGGTTTGGATCCGGATAAGATGTACCCGCTTGTGTACGGAGGTAGCTTGCTTGGAGGAGACGGTTACTCATCGTCTCTGTGTATTGAAGGCTCGTTGGATCCGAGTTTGGTGAGAGGTAAGATTGTTCTCTGCGACAGAGGTATTAACTCTAGAGCCATTAAAGGTGAGATCGTGAGGAGAAACGGTGGCGTGGGGATGATTATAGCGAACGGTGTGTTTGATGGTGAAGGTTTAGTCGCTGACTGCCACGTGTTACCCGCGACTTCGGTTGGTGCTTCTGGTGGTGATGAGATTAGGAGGTATATATCTGAGTCAGCTAAATCATCCAGACAGCCAACGGCTACTATTGTCTTTAAAGGGACCCGGGTTGGGATCCGACCCGCACCGGTAGTTGCGTCTTTCTCTGCTCGTGGGCCTAATCCGGAGACGCCGGATATTCTTAAACCGGATGTGATTGCACCCGGTTTGAACATTCTCGCTGCTTGGCCTGATAAGATAGGTCCATCGGGTGTGACTTCTGATAAACGGAGAACTGAGTTTAATATTTTATCGGGTACGTCAATGGCGTGTCCCCACGTGTCGGGTCTTGCTGCTTTGCTTAAAGCGGCTCATCCTGATTGGAGCCCCGCGGCGATAAGGTCTGCATTGATGACTACGGCTTACACGGTGGATAACCGAAATGAGAGAATGTTGGATGAGTCTACGGGGAATATATCTTCGGTTATGGATTACGGGTCGGGTCATGTGCACCCGACTAAAGCTATGGATCCAGGATTAGTGTACGATATAACATCTTATGATTATAACAATTTCTTGTGTAACTCGAACTACACAGGGACCAACATTGTGACTATAACTCGACGTAAAGCGGACTGCGATGGTGCTAGACGCGCGGGACACGTTGGGAATTTGAACTATCCGTCTTTCTCTGTTGTGTTTCAGCAGTATGGAGAGAGTAAATTGTCGACACATTTCATTAGGACAGTGACAAATGTTGGAGAGTCGGACTCGGTTTATGAGGTTAAGATTAGGCCGCCGAGAGGGACGACGGTTACGGTGGAGCCGGAGAAGTTATCGTTCAGACGGGTAGGGCAGAAACTGAGTTTTATGGTTAGGGTTAAGACAACGGAGGTGAAACTGTCACCAGGAGCGACAAGTGTTGAGACTGGTCATATAGTTTGGTCGGATGGGAAACGAAATGTGACAAGTCCCTTGGTGGTTACTCTTCAACAACCTTTCTGAAGAGGTTTTTTAGGGTTTGGAGACAGGAAAAAATCTGGTCTCTTTGTTTTTATAAAATGTAAAAGGAAGAGATCATAAGCTGTTAGTTGTTGTCTAATGTCTATGATCCTCTTTTGTTGGCTGTTCCTGTAATGTAAAAGTAAAACGTATCTTTTGCTGTTAAAGATGCCGTATAGAAATGTATATTTGGTGATGTGGGCTTCTAATGAGGCTTGTAAAGCTTCGAGTTCAAAGCCCATATATTTCACTTTGGCTTCACAATATTTGTTGTCTACTTCTAAGGTGAAATATTATTGTTTCATTACCCCTTCTACTACTTGGGTTGGCAAGGTTCAAAAATTACATGGTCCATATTAAATTGAACGAAATCAGTACGATTCTTCTGTTCTTTTTTTTTTTGTCGTTTCACTTGATTTGAATGCTGATTGATTCGAGTCGAATAAGAAACAAAACAAAATAGAATGACGATTCGATTATAGCCTAATTTTAGAAGATACGTGTAGTGAGGTGTGTTGGTGTATCTAATTTACTGCTAGTAGTGGCAGACAAGACAACAAGATTATATGTCTTAAATAAAGACTTTAGATTTGAGATTGAAATATTCGATTTGGAGCTTTTTAGATTTTACTGCCATCGAAGATAATGAAGATTAACTACTGTCAAAAAATTAAAATAGTTTCATTACTCTGAGATTTTTTCTAGAAAATATAGAACAAAATTTGAGTATTTAATTCTTTTTAGATATTACAAATTTTAATAATTTGGTTATCTGAGTTCGTACAGTTCATATTTAATAGTGAAACAAAAATAATTGCAAGGTACGGGTAGCTTTCGAAGTTGCATCATTTTCTGTTTTTTGAGATCAGCTATTTTAGGAGCTTTGTCTCAATCCAACCAAAAGAAAATGGTCCTACCTCTTTCGCATTTTTAACTTTATCTTTGTATTATTTTTTTCTTATAACTTTATCTTGTACATATTGATTGCATACGTATATTTCAATTATCGCTCTTCAATTCTCCCTACTAGTATAATTTTGAGAAAACATAATATGAAAATGAAATTTGCTTTTCAAAGATGATAAAAGCCAGCGGATAGTATTGGGACTTACTGATAATTAAAATATATATATACACTATGTTTTGAAATTCTTTGTTATTGACACAAAAATCCTTGTTATTAGAAGCAAATTACGATTGTTAACCTGAATAATCCGAATGCTCTTGCCTAATGGAAAATGGGCGTCAACTGTTCGGTACAAGGTGGGACCGATCAACGATAAGCCTTGTCGTAATAAGTCCACTTGCTCAACTTGTTGCCTTTCTTTTATCTCTTTCGACTCTCAATGATCTTGTTACATAAACGCACGTGTAAGTGTGTAACGCAAGCACACAGATAGATGATCTTGTTTTTGTGTTTCTGAATTTTGCAACTCCGTGATATTTTCATCTAGGGATGGGGTTCCTTTATCAATTTATCACTTGCTTGAAATTGGCAATTATGCAAGAATATATTCAACTACAGGCTGGCTGCTGGCATAACCAAAGATAGAAGTATACATCTATGTACAAGTAACGTGTATATGAATACCTTATACGTGGAAAAATGTCATGTCATGATGTAAATGCCTAATGGTATATTTCTTTTTTAAACACCTTGCCTAATGGTATATATTAACTCATCTTAACACCTAATATATGAATGATCGACAGACATTTTAACTTTATACGTGTAGTTTAAATTTTAGTGTTTTATAATAGATGCACTTATTTGCTTTATGTTGGTGAGATTAATGACAAAATTTTGGCTAGGGGTTGTGTTTAGTACCAATTGCCTTTACATTCTTTTTTTTCTTTCTGTGAAATCAAACTTTTTTACATTTGAATTTATTAACGCAAATTGTAACTCTTAAATTTGCAGTTTAAATATATTTATAATTTAACGAAAAGAAGACTTTTATTAAGAGAACTAACGATGTAGATAAAGCGAATGTAACAAGTAAAAGATCTAAGAAAAGAAGAATGATGTTAAGGTGGGTTTGAGTTTTACCAACACTAGGTTTAAGTTTATCATAATATTGTTTGTGCTCAACCTTATTAGACGTAGACATGAATTGACGCATTCCAGACTTTTCCTCGTGTGCTCAGAGAGTTAAATGTGATACGCAAGAGCTTCTACTTGGAGATGAAGATTAGCGTGATTTCAAAATGAGAAAAAGTAGACGGTTATAAAGCATAACTAGGACTTGTTGTTACACGAGAGGGGGTTCCAACCCCATTCAAAACGTGAACAAATGGTGTATCCACGAAGATTCAAAAGATTTTTAAAACTAGTTACCACTGTCTACACCACCATTATGCCCTCCCAATCATTATGGATGGTCGAGTTTGCATTGTCTTTATAAAAAAAATGGTTCGGGTAAAACTCTTGTCTAACTCTTAGCCGAAGTGTGTCTAATTATTCACACTGCCAATAATAAAAAGTAGTAGCTACAACATAAGATTTTTTACTGTTACTTTGACTATTAATAAAATTTGATTGATAATCAAAGGTCTAGACTTGTTTTCTCAAAATTATGCATCATGTCAAATTTAAATCAAAGTGGTATTAACATTTTCTAAGAACGGGTTAAAAAGAAAAAAAAAGAAGGGTTTTAATACCTTTAATATTATACATGGCGGGATCTATAATTGTTGTGTGTGTTTAATTGATTCTATTTTTTCTTTTCTTTTTCTTCTTAAATAATTGATACTATATTGAATGATGCATGCACCTAACTCTTTTCAATTCTGATGGCCTCCTTTATTTACCGTGGTCACACAGATACACCTTCTTGATGTCTCTTCAAGATTCTAAGACTAATGTTTTCCATTTTACCTTTAACTTTATATAAACTTTTAATATCATTGGGCTATTTTTTTTCATAGTTGCTGATATAATCAGGCGAATGTAAACACTACTAACAAAAAAATGTGACAAGAGATAGTGTTTAGTAAATTTGATCTAAAAACAAGTTGTTTTCTAAACCACTGGATAGATACTTTTAGGAGGCGTTATTGGTTCATGTAGTTTAGTTGATTTAGAAATCTATATAATACTTTTAAATCCATGTAAAATATATCGAATTTATGATCTAACATATGAATTTTATTTAGTATTTACAATTCAGAGATAAAATATATAAATTTTCTTTCGATTTGAGTCTTTGTATTTTTTTTTTAACAATGAAATTCATACATTAACAATAAAATCAAATCCATTAATAAGTTTGGATGATTGAATAACACATGACTTAAATTAGAATTTAAATCATGAAATCAATAATAAATTATTTCAATATGGATATTAAAATCATAGAATCAATATATATAGTTAGGATTTCCAAATTCATTAAAACACAGTAAACACATCAACCATTAGTGATTTGATCAAGTACTTTCAAACATGTATTTCCTAATATATATTTACATTTAATCATATTTTTAACATATTTCCTAATATATATTTACATTAAATCATAAAATAATTATTTGTTTACATTTGTAAAAAAAATATTATTAAATTATTAATTAATATTTTTGCTAGGTAATGCATAGAATCTACATTTCGCAAACTTCCCATTACTGATCAAATACTTTCAAACATGTATTTCCTAATATATATTTACATTAAATCATATTTTTAACATATTACCTAATATATATTTACATTAAATCATAAAATAATAATTTGTTTATATTTGTAAAAAAGGTATAATTAAATTATTAATTAATATTTTTGCTAGGTAATGCATAGAATCTACATTTCGCAAACTTCCCATTTTTGATTATAGTATGTCTTTGTCATTTTAATTTTAATTTTTTAAAAAGATCCAGTCTCAATATCACTTTCTATTCTTTAATAACTAAGGAGATTACTTTTTTACACTTGAACACAAAGACCACATAATGCAAATACGTAATGGTTAGATAATCAAACAATTCAAAGGAGATCAACCACTACTAGTTCTTCAATAACTAATTCAAACAAGCAGATACACCCAAAATTTCGTTTTAATTTATACTAGAACATCAACTTTTTTTTAACTAAAACACCAACTATTTAGCTCAATAGATTGTCTTACTCAGATATCTCATACTTTAGATATATTTAAAGGAAAAATATAAATTACATACTTCCAATTTTATTCATGATTATCTTCCATTTATAATGATTACAATCAAATATAATCCACACCAAATAATCTATTTGTAATAAGTGTATAAGCTATAAATAGTAAATTATCATCAACTCTTTACACAAAACCAACGACACGTATTCACCGACCTAAAAGATTGGAATTTACCTTAACTCACCTCAACTCAAATCAGTGGCATTTTTGTAGAACTAGTCACAAAGTAAGGGTACAATAATAAACAATCAACCTATATAACACACCACGCTCCATCTCTCTATCTTTCTGGAGATCAACAAACCACAGAGAGATAAATAAATATTTCAAAAGAGACCCCAAAGAAGCTAATAATTACAGTTTCGCCGCAAAGTTTACATTTCTAAGCATTTAACACCGACATGTGTGGAGGAGCTATAATCTCCGATTTCATCCCACCGCCGAGGTTCCGCCGCGTCACGAGCGAGCATCTCTGGCCGGATCTGAAAACCAAAAAGGGGAAAGCTTCGAAGAAGAATCGATCCGATTTCTTCGATCTTGACGATGAGTTCGAGGCTGATTTTCAAGGGTTTAAGGATGATGCATCGTTCGATTGCGAAGATGAATTCGATGTTGATGATGATGATGTCTTCGCTGACGTCAAGCCCTTTGTTTTCACTACCAAGCCCGTAGCTTCCCCTCCTCCCACTGGTATTGATCGGAATCTCAAATCTGTTGAATTAGGGTTTTGTGTGTTAAATGTTTAAAGTTTGGATTTTTAAATGATTTCAGTAGGAAAGATGAGAGCTTTGTTATGGGTTTCATCTCTATATTCGTTTTAAGATTCTCTTTGGATTGTTATTGGTCAATAGATTAAGATCTGAAAAGCTTGTGTGGGTTTCTGGGGATAGAGACAAGAGATAGAACCTTTCTACCTTTGTTCTGTTACATAAATTACTTGCCTTTGTTTATTTCTAGAGATACTGAGAGTTTGTCAACTTGTAAAGGGTTTGACTTTTCTGTTTCTTATGTAATTGTTTTAGAAGTGATTTAGGTCTTCTGGATCTTGTTTTTCAGATGCTTTTATTTAGTTTCTAGCGTAAATTATTGTTTTGTTTTGTTACTATTTTGATGTCCAGATCTAGTAGCTTCTGAGGAGATGTTGCAGTTTTGTGAGTTTATCATATGATTGATTGAAATTGTGTGTTTGACTTCATTAGGTTCAGTTTCTGGCAAGAAAACCATAGAGTCTAATGGGCAAGCTGAGAAATCTGCGAAGAGAAAGAGGAAGAATCAGTACAGGGGGATTAGGCAGCGTCCTTGGGGCAAATGGGCCGCTGAGATCCGTGATCCTAGAAAAGGCTCCCGGGAATGGCTTGGAACATTCGACACCGCTGAGGAAGCAGCAAGAGCTTATGATGCAGCTGCACGCAGGATCCGTGGCAATAAAGCTAAGGTGAACTTCCCTGAGGAGATGGTTCCTAGCGTCTCCCAGAAACGCCCTTCTGCTAAGAAGCCAGTGACTAAACCAAACAAAACCCCAACTTTGGTTCAGCAGCCAAGTCAGTACTGCAACAACTCCTTTGGTAATGTGAGTTTCATGGAAGAGAAGCCTCAGATGTACAACAACAATCAGTTCTTTGATGTTGGAGGCAACAATGGATACCATTATTTCAGTTCTGACCAGGGCAGTAACTCATATGGCTGCTCTGAGTTTGGGTGGAGTGATCACGGCCCCAAGACACCTGAGATCTCTTCAATGCTAGTCAACAACAACCAAGCTCCTTTCATTGAAGAAACCAATCCATCCAAGAAGCTCAAAACCAGCTCTGAGGACGGGACAAACAACAATGATAGCTCTGATGATGACCTGATGGCGTACCTTGACAACGCCTTGTGGGAGTCTCCATTAGAAGTGGAAGCTATGCTCGGCGTAGATGCTGCTGGTGTGACTCAGGAAGAGGGAAACCCAATGGATCTGTGGAGCTTAGATGATATCAACTCCATGCTGGATGGTGGAGCCTTCTGAAGTGATTGATGGGTTGCCTTAGTTTGTAAATAAAGCTGTGTGTGTGTTGGTGAGTTTCAAGTCCATTGGTTAAGACAAACAGCCTTAGCTTTGGTTTTTACTTAAATTTCAGTTTTGTTTTTGTCTGTGGTCTCAGGGTTTTGCTGTTGGGGGAAGTGGTACAAGGCACACCTGGCGGTTATTGCATCTTATGAGTCTCTTTCCCATGGAGAGTGTCTCTTTTAAATTCCTGAAATAAAAGGGGTGATGAAGTAAATAGAGTATTTTAATTTCTATCTAATGAGTCTCTTCCTTGTTTTTTTTTTTGTCTTTTAAAGACATTTTATTAATGTTTAAACTCTCCTTTTCATCTTTTCTTTTATAGCGTATCATCATCACCCTCGAAAGTGTTTTCGTTTTGTACTCCCCAATACTTATATAAAAACTGTTTGGAACCTCTGTTTGTTCTATGAATCTTCTCTGTCTAACAAAACTTTTGCTTGCTAGTTTGGTAGGTGATTTGATATTCTTTACTCATTCATCGTATATAATTAGAACAACTTCACTTTTGATCTATTTAAAAAGCAGAAAAGATTCGGAAAAGAACATAAGGAATAATGTTTGCTCTGGTTGAATATATAACTAAATAAAACCAAGTTATTCTTGTAAACTTTCTTGTGAACCTTTTGATGAAAATACACCCAAGTTGCTGACAAGAGAATAATTAAATAAATTTGCACCCAAATGATTCTGTAGGGGTACACTTAAAGATGTGATGAAAAGTGGTTCAATGTGTGACCAACGAGGCTGCGACTCATGCTAGATTTTATTGGCAAAACCAAAACCACATATACACTGCTTAGTTGTGTTTGCATGATTGTAGATCTAACATTTGCTTTTTACATCTTTAAGTAAACTGCATTAGTTTATGGCCTTATATATTCTTGTATGTGTGCAAAAGCCAATATGTTATAACTTAGAATGCATGTTTCTGTTGTTGGATTGGACCATTAAGGGAAGCAATTCGTGTGGATATAGATCAGGAACGTCCCGTTACTGAAACTTTCACTAAAGCTTAGTTGCTCACCACAAAAAGAAAACAATTTACGAAAATGAAAAGGTTTACTGAAAAAAAGAAGATTTGCATCTGATTTGGTATTCTTTTGATTTGATTAAACTAATCAGTTCACATGATATAGTTAAAGTTTTCCATTGACCAGCAGTCCCGTGAAAGACACGAAACCGATATATAGCTTTATATTCAATTATTTCAAGCATATTTTTATCCAAACCTTGACTTACTAATACAACTGTATTTTATATAGTTCCCTCCCATATTATAATCACATTTAGACTATTCAAAGAGGAACTTTTATAATTTAAGTTTGGCGGAAACTGTCCAGAAACGTCTGATATCATTTTTCTTAATTTGTTTTCTAGCTGGCTTTGACTCGATATCACCTTATATAAACACAAGCGTCCTTCGACTTATATGTCACACACATTTTATAGAACAAGAATTAGACCCCTCATATGGCAAACAAAGACCGATTTTATTCGATATTCCTACTCTTTTCGGTTTTATCGATCAATTTAATAAGCTGCGAGAAGAGTCTGCTAACGAACCAAGCAGCATTGTTCGTGTTCGGAGACTCTGTGTTCGACGTTGGTAACAACAATTACATCAACACATTCCGAGCTGCTCAGGCCAATGTTTGGCCGTATGGTCAAACCACGTTCAAGTTCCCGACCGGGAGAAATTCTGACGGCCGTTTGATTCCAGATTTCATCGGTATAATAATCAAAACCACATATCTATCTTATTTTCATAATTCTTTATATACATTTAATGATATAACATTCTTGTGCAACATTTTTTCAATGCATGCAGCTGAATACGCTTGGTTACCGTTAATACCACCTTATCTACAGCCCGGAAATGGCGTCATTCAGTTTACTTACGGTGTAAATTTCGCTTCTGCCGGCGCTGGAGCTTTGGTCGAAACATATCAACCACAGGTATTTAATTTCTTAACATCATTTTCTCGTTATATACAATTTTAAAGGTACTTGAAAAAGGTCTAGAGTTGCTTATATCTCTACTTTATGTAAATTGTTTTAAACGTTTTCTCTTTGTATCTCTATATATAGAACGTGATACCGTTGGGAAGCCAGTTAAACAACTTCGAAAATGTAGTGAAGATGTTGAAAGACAAACTAGGAGATGCAGAGACCAAGAGGATAATCTCAAGAGCTGTTTATCTCATTCAGATTGGTCCTAACGACTATTTTTATCCCTTCTCCATTAACGTCTCCCATTTTGAATCCAATAGCAAAAACAAATTTGTGGACTATGTTATCGGTAACACCACGACTGTGATCGAGGTATTTATATTATACGGACTAACTATATATAATTCGATACAAACTAGAAAGTAATCATATCTTATAATGTTTTTGTACTATTCTTTGTAGGGAATTTATAAACTAGGAGGAAGGAAGTTTGGGCTCATGAACATGGGTCGACTCGACTGTATTCCGGGATTACTAACAATGGATCCAAATAGAATAGGATCATGTTTCGAACCCATCACTGAGTTGATAAAACTTCACAACGTAAAGATTCCATATGTCTTGAGAGATCTACAGCGTCGATTACCCGGTTTCAAATACTCACTCTTTGACTCCTACACTGCTGGAACCGAAGCTATGGAGAATCCCACAAAATATGGTATCAAACTATGCATTATTTAATTTATGTTTACAATAATATACTAATATCTCATATTTAATTAGGAAGTGAACTTCGTTTTGGTAACTAGGGTTTAAGGAAGTGAAGAAGGCTTGTTGTGGAAGTGGACCGTTCAGGGGAAGCAGTACGTGTGGGTACCGAGCAGGAACGTCACGTGATTTTGAGTTATGCGAAAATGTTAGTGACTATATGTTCTTTGATGGCTCACACACGTCTGAGAAGGCTAATCAACAGACCGCTGAATTGATGTGGGACGGTCCGCCCGATCTTGTTGGCCCCTACACTCTCAAGTCCTTGTTTCAAAACTTTTAAGTTAATTGAAAAATGTGTGCTACTAAAGACTGTTTGTGTGCTACTAAAGACTGTTGTATGATAACAATTTGAAAAATAAAATAAATATCTATATATGTACTCAAACTCAAATATTACTACGCCCAAAATACTCAAAGCATCAAGAATAATGATACAAACCGATTGAGATTGAAATTTGGAAATTTGGATCATTCTAATTAGCCAACTTCAAGCACCAACAATAGTAATTAACAATTTAATAGTATATGATGCTTCTTTTCCTGAGAGCACCCACAATAGCAAATCGGGAGTCTTAAAGAAATATTAATTTTATAATTAGTGGGTCCCATAAACAGTTAAGGATTCTATTCTTAAAAATCTTATTTAAAAATTGATCCTTACATTATTTGTGGGCTCCACTGTCCACGTGGCGGTCCACGAATGGTTAATTTTTTTAAAAAAGAAAAAATATGAAAAATCATTTATAATCCGAAATGTTTTTTTTCTTTTTTTCTTAAGGACTCCCCTTAAGGACCTCTCATTGTGGGTTGTTGAGGACCTTTATTAAGAAATGGGCTGTTTTATTATTGGTCCAGGATGTAAAGCCCATTGTTAATTAGCTAGACGTCACATTTCTGGTTTTACTATTGGGCCCAATATGTAAAGCCTTGTGATTAGGTCGACGTCAAATCAATCATTGCTGGCGTCATGATTGACTCAACGAATTTGATTCTAGAGCGCTAACCACCATTTTACCCTTTTTACTATTCCCTTTGTTTCAATGTTTGTGGAAGATTTTTATGTTTTAAAATAGATGACATTTTTATGTTTTAAAATATATGACATTTTTATATTTTAATGTAACTTTTAACTTTATCAAAAAACTTTAACAAACAACAAATGATATATTGTAGGCTATTCTGTACTTAGTGGAATAATTTTTAATTAATATTTTAGTAATTTTTTTAAAAAAATAAATTTTAATATTTGTACACTATTTTAAAACATCAAATATTTTGAAATGGAGAGAGTATATTCTAAAGAGGATACCGTAATACCATTTGAGAAAAATACATCAATAACACCCGCAAATGTTTTTTTTTGTTTGTAAAAACACCCGTCAAATGTTCCTATCATGATAATTATAAGTTTTTTTTCTGGTCTAAATGATAATTATAAGTTTTGGCAATACATCAACAACAGCTTTAAAAGTTTCTTACGTTCAGTGTCGTGGCCAACAAAAGTCCAGAAAGTTATAACGTATATCTTTGATCTCATCAGCTACTTCTTTTTTCCTTTTCTCTAACAGAGACACCGTTTGCGTTTTCTAATTTACTTGACTAATCCAACATAATGGTACTTTTTGAATGTAAGAATTTCTTTTAACAAATGGATTATTCGCTTGGTTATTTTCCAAGGTCACATGTTTGTATTTTCCTGGTCAAAATTCAACACCAGATAAGAAAACATTAGAAGTCGATCAACTGAATAAAATAATGCAAATGTCTATTTTAATAAATTAATTAGGCCGTTAGAAAGTACCTATACTACTAGCATCACTGTTATCAATTATTTTGAGGCTGTCTTCGTCAAAACTGCGCAGCCGGCCGCATACAAAAAATAATCAGGTCTTTAATGAAAAATCATATTCAAAGTCGTCCAACCGAATATATATGATCACCAAGAAAATAAGCAACTTGACCACGTTCGTTACACTTCAAAACAAATAATATTCAACATCTGATTATGTATATATAAACCGAACCAGCGATAGTTTCTGTATAGGAAGAAAAAAAGATCACAACAAAACATGGCAAGTTCTAAATTTAGTCCGATGAGCATCATCCTATTAATCTGCACGATAAGCTTATCGTTCGGCTCAATTTATTGCAAGAACGACTTCGTTACGAACCAAACCGCTTTGTTCGTGTTCGGAGATTCTCTGTTCGAAGCTGGAAACAACAACTACTTCGATTGTCTCCCTGGTTTCCGGTCAAATTACTGGCCATATGGTAAAACCACATTTCAGTTTCCGACGGGAAGGGTTTCTAATGGTCGGATAATGATAGATTTTATCTGTAAGTAATCAGTTTAACAACGTTTATTACATTTAATATGTTTTTGTTTTGACAAAAGAAGTTGTAACCTCTTTGATATGTACTTGTGTTTTTTTTTTATTTATGTTTACCATAATAATGCATGTTTCTAACGTGGCAGCTGAAAATGCTTGGTTACCATTGCTCCCACCAAATCTACAACCTGGTTACACTACCAGCCAGTTAACCTACGGTCTTAATTTCGCCACCACAGCCGCCGGAGTATTTGCCGCAACTTTTCCCGGAATGGTAATTAATCTCTTCAACTGAAACAAAACATAAAAGAAGCAAGTTTCCATGTTTGACTAAAACCATTGACTTTGACTTTTTTTGTTGTTGTTGCACCGAAGTCAAAAGACTTGGGAACGCAACTGAGCAGCTTCAAGAACGCAACGCAAGTGTTGAGATTGAAACTAGGAGATGTAGAGACTAGAAGAGTCATCTCAAAGGCTGTTTATCTTTTTCACATCGGAGCAAATGACTATCAATACCCATTCTTTGCAAATACCTCAACTATTACTACCACTACGAAAGAGAGATTCGTTGATTTCGTTATCGGTAACACAACCAACGTCATAGAGGTAACAATATATTTGATATCTTTATAACAATAACAGATTAATATTAGAATACTTGTGTATCAAAAAGAAATATTAGGGTACTTTGTTTTGAATAAATGTGATTTTTTCTCAGGAATTATATAAAATGGGAGCAAGGAAGTTCGGGTTCTTGAGCTTAGGTCCATTCGGCTGCACACCAAGTGCGTCGATAACTGACCCTACAAAGATAGGATCATGTTTTGAGCCGGTCTCGGAGCTGATCAACCTCCATAACCAAAAGTTCCCTAAAGTTTTGAGGCGTCTAGAGAGTCAACTACCCGGATTCAAATACTCTCTTCATGACTTTCACACTTCTTTGCTCCAAAGAATCAACAATCCTTCACAATACGGTTTCAAGCAAGGTAAGATGGCATGTTGTGGAAGCGGACCGTTGAGGGGAGTTAATACATGTGGATTCCGAAATGGACCGTCACAAGGTTACCAGCTATGCGAAAACGCTGATGATTACATCTTCTTTGATCCCTCTCATTTGACGGAGAAGGCTCATGGACAGATCGCTGAGCTGATTTGGAGCGGGTCGCCTAATGTCACTGCACCTTACAATCTCAAAACATTATTTGAACTCTAAGGTTTTTTCTAATGTAAACGGTGTTGTTTCTTTTTTTTTTTGTACTTATGCATGCAAAATAATATGAGTTTTACACACACGTGTAAACCTGCCAACAACCATTTACTTGTGCTAAACGAGATCACTTCACTTTTACTTTCTGAAAACTTGCCTACAACGTTTTCCTCATTACAATTTATTAGAGCAACCACATTAGTGAATCCCTCTTTGGGATTCACAAAATTTTTTTATTATTTTTTTGGTGGGACCATGAATAGTGTTAAATCCGGATCAAATGTACTTTTCCATTAATGAATCCGAAGTTGGGGTTCATAGGAATAAAAAAATATATTTTTTTAAATATTTAAATTTTTTTTTAAAAAAAATATATTGAATAGAATTAGAATTTTTGACCATAAATAATAATTAATTAAATTTTTAAGAAGTCATGAACATTGAAAATATATATATTTTTTTTTATAGAAGTTTTTATTCGATACATTGATAATTCATGAAGATACAAAGATTACTAATTGAGATTACTAAACTTTTACCAAACATTTTCAACCAAATCGGCTTTCAAACGAGCATGTGTCTGTGCATCTCGAATTTGATTGCGAATGCCATGCATATTATCGACATTCAAAGATGTTGTCGTGTGAACTTGGGAACTTCTGCTTGACTCTCCTGTCTCGAACTCAGTTGTATCATAAAGAGTGTATGACTGTCGTTCGTCCCCAACTATCATATTGTGCAGTATGACACAAGCTCTCATAATCCTTCCTATTTTATTTATGTCCCATAGAAGAGCTGGGTTTTTAACGATTGCAAACCTCGATTGCAATACTCCAAAAGCCCGTTCGACATCTTTTCTCGTGGATTCTTGACGTTGAGCAAATACCTCTGCTTTAGGACCTTGAGGAAGTCGGCTGGGTTGGATAAACGTTGACCATTTTGGATAAATACCGTCGATAAGGTAGTACGCCATGCGATAGTTGAGGTTGTTGACCTTAAAATTAACCTTAGGAGCTCGACCTTGTAAAATGTCATCAAACACTGGTGACCGATCAAGAACATTAATATCGTTCAGTGTACCTGGTAAGCCGAAAAATGAGTGCCATATCCAAAGATCGTGTGACGCCACAGCCTCTAAGACAATGATCGGTTTTCCCGAACAACGTGTGTACTGGCCTCGCCAAGCCGTTGGGCAGTTTTTCCACTCTCAATGCATGCAGTCGATGCTTCCTATCATCCCTGGGAACCCGCGAACATCACTGACATCAAGTAATCGTTGAAGATCTTCAGCCGTAGGTCTTCTTAAATACTCATCTCCAAACAAATATATTATCCCTTCGCTGAAATTTTCCAGACATAAAAGTGCAGTACTTTCGGAAGTCAGAGATATTCGTCATTTGAATATGCGGATTGACCATATGCCAGCATTCGTATAGCTGAAGTACATTTTTGAAGTGCGGAAAGCCCTAACCTTCCATGAGCATTTCTTCTTTGCTCAAAGTACGGAACTTCATTACTGAGACGATTAACAATGCGAAGGAACAAAGGCTTGTTCATTCGAAAACGTCTTCTAAACATTTGAGGTGGGTATGTAGGATTGTCACTGAAATAGTCGTTCCACAGTTGTATGTGTCCTTGTTCCCGACTTCTTTCGACATAAGCTCGTTTTTTCGGCTTGTTGTGTAGACCATCCATAAAAGAGTCGATGAAATCGTCCACATGTTGATCGACTATTTCATCAAGAAGTTCATCTTCTTGATCACTTGACGAGGAAGACATTTTTTGGATATCCTAACAACCAAAAAACAAAATATTTGATGTTAACATATAATTATAATCCAAAAAAA